GGTCGCGGGGCTCTGGCCCTCGCTGCAAAGGGCGCCGGTCCCCGCCGCTGACGCCGGCCTCCATCTTGGCCTGCTCCGGCCAGGATGGCTCGTTGCTGCATGATGCTCCTGGTGCTATAATTACCACTCTGCTAACCACAGCGGCCTTGCAGCTCCTCGCCGACACCGCTCCGCTCCACCCCGCTGCCGCCCAGCACACGGCACGTTCTGCACCCCTGTGCAATGCTCAGTGCTGCCGTGAGAGCGATGCTCCCCCTCCCACGCTGCCGTCAGAGCCATTACTCCTCTGCAGTGACACTCCACAACACATGATGCCTCGACACAGACCTACGCTTTGCTTTCCACGCATTCTTCACCTAAACTTGTTTTTGGCAAGCTACGCACAGTGACTGCTCTGCCGCTCCACAACAGGGGTTGCACAGGAAAGGAAAAACAAAGTAATTCATAACCTCGAGACAAGGGGTTCAGATCTCAGCCAGCAATCGCGGCCAAGAAGTGTTTCTTATATGCCACCAAGGCAAACCCCACTTTGACTGAATAACCACAATGTCAGCAGATCAGGCCCACCACACGCAGACATCGCATCCCGCAGACAAACCCCCCCCCAGAGTCCTACAGGTGGCACTGGCTACACGGGGTGACCGGTGCCGCAGAGGCAGGGAATAAGAGCACGCACGCTGCCTGAGCAGGTTTCTTAGTTGCCCAAACTGCCCGAGATTTGCACCTAGGTGGGGGCCTGGCATCCCCAAGCGGTGACTCACGCTGGCCTTTCTCCTCTATGGCTGGCTAGCTAAGACATCCCACCCGGAGCAGGTTTGCTCCCAAGGACACCCAGCAAGACACAGACCTTTGCCGGAGGCGCTCATGTCCACCCCTACGTTGGCCAGGAGCCGCTCCGCACCCTCCAGCCAGGACAGGGGGACACGCGCCATTTCCACCACCGCCGCCCCGATGACCGAGATGGAGGGGTCCAGGGACACTGCCTCCAGCCTCCCCAGCTCCCCTCGCAGGCTGTCGCTGCTGCAGGAGCTCCTCAGGCAAGCCTGGAAAAAATACAACCGGTGACCAAGCTAGCCTCCACAGTTAGTGGGTTTCTGGGACTTGGCAAATAACACATCATCTCTGAAAAAGTCCTGGGTACAACCTCGTGAACACTTTGGTACGACTCTTCACTTCCCGGGTCAATATCTTTGGTGGGAACGGCTCCTGGCAGGCCCAGGGGAGGACACACTTCTGTGACACCTCCTATTTCTTTCCAACCAACACTTTTTGGGGCTGCACTCACCTCTCACTGATCTGGAGAGCTGCGCGCGCTGGGTAGCGCTCGTGCATAAGTGTATCTTTTCTCCGACCTATCCTCCGGCCAAAAAAATGCCCTGTGCCACTTATCTCCTGGCTGCCAGTTGGTCATCATTATTTAAAGGACTGACCTGGAGCTCCTGCAGGGATTTCTTGAACACCTCAACGTTTGCAGACACCTCCTTTTCCTTCAAGAGCCTGGAGCTTAATTCCTCCTGCAGACGCTTCTCTCTCTCATGACTTTGTTGATTCTCGTCAGAGATCTGCCTGACCTTCTCTATCACCTGGCAAAAGCAAGTGAAGGAAGAGGAGAATAAGGCATTATATTAATACCCTTTTTCAGCTGAGGGACCGTAGATCGTCTCAGCGAGCAATGATTGAGACTTGCTGCAGACTGGTAGCCACGTCAGACTCCTGGGCTTCTCCCTGTTGCAGCCCACTGGCTCCATCCAAGCTTTGGCGGACAAAAAGGATCGTGTCTCCTTCACATCACGGAACTGTGTCATTAACCTGGGATAGCTGTGGCACGACTTATAATCTGGAGAAGCTTGGACGCTACCAGCACTGCTGTGCACGGAGTAGGCACCGCAGCCGTTCTGCAGTGGCCGACCCGAGCCACGCCAGTCTCGGAGGCACCGAGCATCTCCGTGTGCTGGTATCCAAACTCACCTGCTGCTCCGTTACGGCTTTCCCTGCAACGCCTGCTGCTGCGGGAGAACAGACTCGCATCACTTGGGTTTTGAAGGACTCCAGCTACAGCAGAGAACGACACAGGAAAACAAAAACCACAGAGAGTCGATATCAGCTCTGCTGGTCTGCTCTACCCAAGCCTGCACACATCAATGCAAAGGGCGTCCCGGTGCCTGCCGTCTCCGACACCGAGGCCCCGTGCACGCTCCTGCCCTCCCCTCAGGACATCGCTTTAGCTCACGCACCTTTTTCACCGTGCAACTTTGCAAGGGTTCCCTGACTCCCCCCCTTTGACCCCGACGGCTCACACACCACCGGCAGCAAGGCACTGCAGTCAATCACATCTGTTAATTTGCCTATAAGGTGCAAGGTGCAATCACCAGTACCACGCACGCGGGAGGCTGTCGGCTCCCCGCCACCAAGGACAACGTGACTCCTGAACATCTCCTGCTGCCCTGCTACTGCTGTGGCAGGATTACAATGACACAGGGCCAGTACAAATTGCAAAGGACGGACCAACCGAGCTAGGCAGCTTCTCCACCCCGCGCTCCAGCGGGGATTTCCGATGGCTGGTTCCTATTTCCTCCTGTGAAACAGTTGGGGCAGGCTGGGGACAGCTGGGGATGCCACCCGCAGCCTCTCTGCAGGAGATGACAACCATTTCCACTGAGGTTAGCGCTTTACGCTTCTGTATCGCAGCTGGTGCTGGCTCCTCCTGGGGCTTCGACACATGGCTGTCCCTGTGCTAACCTACGTGGCAGCACGCAGGCCCAAAAGTCTCCATCTGCCCTTGAAAGCTTGAGGTTGTCCTTTGGCTCCACGCTGCACAAAAACTGGGGTTGTTTCCCAAACATGTAACCAAACAGCTCATAGCTTTTTCTGCCTCTCATTGACTGAGTTCGCTAACAAATTCACGCTAGCAGAAAATTCACGCTAGCAAAACTCTGTGCTGCAGTTTAAGGGGGGAGCACGACCTTCTTGTGCGAAGCACAGCTTTATCCTGCTGATCTGGCACGATGTTATTCTGCAAAGAGCTGTCTCTGCCCGGAGCAGCATTACCTAGGCACGGAGGAGGGTCTGTATGGGTCCCGGACAGCATGACTAAAATTCCAGAGTATAGCGCGTTTCTGTATCCTATTAAACTCGCTGCATCTTCTGTGATGCCTACACAAATCCTGTGGATAAGCCTATTATACTGCACCCGACGACAAGTTAAGCCCCGTGCCAGGGTTTGGTGCTCAGGCCTCTGCATTTCCTTTCCGGCACTCAAGCACGATGTCCTCCCCCGTGGGAAAACCGGTACTTTTGCTGCCTTCAGCCCAGACTGCAGGATGCTCCCATCCCTGCCTCCTCCCTACCTGCTCCTTGGCCCGCCCCACGTCGGCTGTCAGCAGGCGCTCCCTGCGCCCCATCTCCTGCAGCTGCAGAGCTTGCCTGGCACAGGCTTCTTTCAGCTCCTCCTCAGCCTGCAACGACGAGAGCGTTTGCATATCAAAAGCAATACCAGAAAATCACGGCGTAAGCACTTTTACCCCAGCTATCCACTATTCACATCAGATGACTCCAAATATAGCTTTGAAATAGCAGGAGACAAGGAGCAATCCTTTTGCAGGGGAGGAGGGTTGCAGCATCGGACACCTAACGCTGCTTTTTGCCTGGGTTTGGTCCCTGGGCCATCACCCATCCTTGACTTTCTAACACACCGCTCGCGTAGGGCAGTCTCTGCTGCACAAGTTACCTTCTTCCCTCGGGGTCCGTGGAATAGCTCAGCACATTTTGACCCTCTGCCTGCACAGCCTGCGTGCCTGGGGCTCGCTGGCCCTCGTCCCACGCGTCTGCCACCCGTGCCAGGCGGCCGAGGTACCTGCCGTGCCCGTCCCTCCCTGCCCTCCGCCGCATACCCCACGGCCAGACTGTTACCTTGGCTTTCTCGGCCAGCTGGTTTCGGATGCTCTCCTGCTCGGCGCAATACTTCTGGACTTCCCCCTGCAGCCCCTCCAGGTCACGTTCCAGCTCCCCGATGCGCTGCAAGAGTCCCGGAACAGCACAGGGTCTCACCAGAGGAGCTGGGCATCGCCCTCTCTGGAGGATTTTAACCGATAACCGATATATTTTCCCCATTTCCTTTACCCTGGAATTTTCTTCTAACCTATGTTTACTGCAGTTAGATTGCCTTTCAAGTGGAATGTCAATCTTATTATTGACACCATTCTCCTGCATCGTAATGCGGTGTTACAATTTTTACAGGCGTTTACGTTCTCCGGTTCATTTTGCATGTTAGGTGCCTTCTATTACAGGAGCCGGATTCAAAACAACTCCCTTAAAATGC